TAGTTAAAGGGCTAAATTATCAAATCCTTTTCCCTCATCTTCTAATTTGAATCGTAAGAAATTTTTTGATTTTGCCTTTTTTGTATATATTATAACTTCTATAAATCAGTCGTAAGTTATCCAAACTATTGCATTAGAGGAGCGTAGGATTTGCTTTACAACGAAAGGGCAACATATGACATTAGCTTTGCCATGAAAATTTAGTCGTGCCGCAACGACGAAAAGAATGGATTCTCCTTCTAACCCTGCGTCATACTTCCATGAACTTGGTTGACGCAGTAAGCGGCCCTCAATAGAAATTTTCAAGTAAGAGTTCCTTTTTCAGAGTGCTTTACGCGGTAGATGGTTCTCTTACGCATTCTTCTCTCCCAATCAGGATTGCATGAAACAGCTGTCAAAGTTTGCGACTGAGGGAAAGGTGTACATTTGTAGATTTAGGTTTTTCTGTCGTATAATCAACATTGTTGCTCCAGATAAAGCCAATTATCGAACGAGTACAACCTTTCGAAGAACTACCATCAGCATATGAGCACGTATCCCAGCTGCATGGTCGAGGGAAGACAGTATTGAAGTGGTAGATTATTGCCCATTGGTCCCATTGTCACTGTCATAATTGCTCAAATAGTCATTTATTCTTCAGTTCGAAGTTTTTATGTTTAATACCAGTTCATAAGTTTAAGCGAGTTTCACTAAGTGCTATTTCGCGACATCTTCTTCTTTTAGATCTCATTGCCAGTTTACCTCTTTTTAAAAGTCACAGGTTTGTACTGTAGGTGTGGAAGTCACGTTGATACCTTAAGAAATTTTAGGATATATTTATTCGTCGTTGGTAAATCTTACATTGCACATATATCAATATTTGCTTGTGAACAATCGCTCACAAGACATATCACAATAGTTCTGCAAACTAGATCAAACGTTGATATGAATTAAACGACATATTATAAGATCAATTCCGATGATTCGGTGGGCGGCAGCTGTCAACAAACAAACAAAGCACACAATGTCTGAGCACAAAAAACAGGAAGTGATCCAGATCATACTTACAATTTAGCCTAAAAACGTTTCCTGAAATTGCTTTTCTCATG